ACTGGTGCTTTGTGTGGAACATCGATTTCCAAAGGCAACTTGCTGGCAATTGCTTGAAACAGACTCCTAAGACTAGTGGGTCTTAGGGCAAACAACACTTGTAGCAAATGCATAATGTGAAGCTCTCTCTCAAACCAACTGCAGATGCAGGAGGGGGGAATCTAATTGCTATCAATAGCACCATGCAGAGCTCTCCCCTCTCCAGATATGACTACCTCCCCCACCAGTCAATCACCCCCTCACATATAGTTATGGGATTTAGTAAAAAATAATCTGATCAGTCCCACTGGAAACTGGTTTTTAAAATAAGCCTCATTACTGAGTAGGGGGAGCAATTTTTTGGAGGGTGGGGAAATAATGGAAAAAGTCCCTTCCAAGTGCACTGTGGTCCCAATAATAATCCACCACCCTTGTGGCTGTAATTAATTTAAAAATATAAGAGACATAATGGAAGGCCACATTCAAGCCTAACACGTGGTTTGATACCTAGATTTCAGAACAGCCATGCTGGATCATAACAGTCTGCTTCTAATTAAAAATGACTTCAGGCTGTGTTCAAACATAACACCAACTAGACCACAGTTTAGTGCTATGTGAATGAGCCCTCCCTCTCCTTCTCAAGCAGTAGCCACAGTAAGGAGACCAGAAGTATCTCCTAGTGTTTTAAACTAGCCACTGTATTTATTTATTTTTTGTCCAAACTGTGGCTAGTTAAACTCTAAAATAGGATTTGTCTGAGCAAGCCTAGATCAATCCATGGTTTCTGATCCTGATCTGCTGAGATAAGCTGTAATTAAAAGTAACCACAACTGCTTTAGATTAAATGACAAATCGTGGTTAGCTGAAAATAGAAGCTGATGTTTCTGTTGTGCATCAGAGGAGGAGAGGGAAGTGGAAGCATGCTCTGTAACACTAACCTATGGTTTAGCAGAGAAATAGCAGATTTCCAGATGTTGTTGGATTCTGACTCCTATTAGCTTCATCAACCATGGGCAATGGGAATCATAGTCTGGCAACATCTGGAGAGCACTAAGTTGGCTACCCCTGACTTAACATTATGTCCAAAGCAGGTCTATGTTACAGTGCTGGGTGAGTGCGTGATGAAGTTCATGCCTTTGTTTTGCACAAACTTGAGCATCCACATGGTGCCTCCTGTCCCATTCAGGGAGTCAGCATTGTTCCTGTCTTGGAAACCTGCCTATGGAAATGCAAAAGCCAAATGCTGGTTCTTGCGAAACCTCAAAGGGAACATGACATTTTTGTTTCAAGCAAAATAGACAGATATTATGATTTATGTGCTTTCTAACGTGCATGAAATAATACTTAGATTCTGTTTTAAAATGGGAAAATCCATTGTTATCGGAGCACAGGGTTCAAGAGTTTCAATAGAAGCTAATTTTAATCAATCAAACGACAACTTTTAATATATAAAAATGATTCAAGCTGGTTGAGAAGATCCTCCCCTCCTCCCCAATGCAATCAGATGAACTACCAGAAAAGACAGGGAACCTTTTCTTAAAGTGGTTCCTCTGAGTAGTTCAATTCAGCTTCTCTTCAATATCTGACACACAGTAGCTGCCACCCCAAGGAACCAATTTCTATATATATGAAATGCCTGCAGGATGAGAAAATCCCCACTCAGCTGCCAGTGGCAGACTGGAGAGACATACTATTGTATTCCCCTGGTAGCCAAGCCCATCAGGACACCTGGTTATTTCGGTGTACACATTAGGAAATGACAACGCACTGCAGAAATTACTAGATGTATTGTATAGTAAATTGTGAAATTCTTATGCTCCAGAACACCTAATACAATGAAATCATCTCGTCTCAGTTTCAGCTGTTGAGGTAACAAATTGTCTTATGCACTGTCGATAGGTTACTGCTGCTGATACAGTGGGACAACTATATACAGTGTTATCACCCACAAGAGCAGGCTGTGTAAATCTTAACAAGTGATAGTGGTAAATATTTATTTCAAGCCTTTGTTGCACATAAATCTATAAATGCAGACATAAAATGCGTAAATACAGAAGTATAGAGATTCTTGAATTGTTAGCAATCCAAAGCCAACTTAGATCAGTGAGGGTAAAATCATCGGGTCAATAATGGTTATGAAGCATAATACAGTTTCTGTACTAATCCAAAGTCTTTGCATTTATTAGCCACACTAATACAATGTACGATGAAGCATGGGGTAAGTATGGGTTAAATAAATCAATCCCTAGGACTTTCCAGTTTTGATGTCTTTCCACAGTGATGAATGACAAATTCACTCTCTGGAATCGGTCTTCTCAATTGGATCAAATAAATAGATTGACACATAAGTTACTGATATTATCCTGCCCAATCTGTTCTGTTCTGTTATTTTGGTTATTCCTCTGAGTGAAGTAGGGATGGGCAAATCTATCAATTCTGATGTCTCCCGGTTTTGCTAGCTTTCTAATCTGAAATGCAGTTCCACACGTTTCCAAATCAGCTTGCAATAAAAAAAAAAGTCTCCATGAAACTTCATCAGAATTCAGTGCATATTTATCCCAATACACACAATGGTGTATGCAATTTTGCGTAATATACACATTTTTGCAACACATATTTTCCCTAATTTAATGCATTTCATATGTTATTTCTGCTACTATCTGGATTTTTATTCGCATTTTGCCTTAATATGTCATTATTATTTTTTTGTACATCTTACTTGGCTGGGGAACTGCACTGCAAAATTTAGAAAAGAGAATTTTGCAGAGTTGCTGCTTTACAGTGTGCATATTGTTTCAGAAATTGCAAATTATTTAAATATGTTTTTAAATGTGAACTGGATTTATTTCCCCCTCTAACCCTTGTGTGAATAAATGAAACTGTTGTATCATTTTATGTTCTGTTCTTTGCTATAAAATTGTAGTTTTCTGGTTTGTTTGTTTTTTTGGTTTTTTTTTTTAATTATGCTGCACTGACCAGAAATATTAAATATTCACAGGAGGATCTAAAGTTCAATTTGGTACTTGAAAATGAGAGGCAAAGACAAAATATGGAAAGGAATAAACCTAACAAAACCAAGGGAAATGGAAACCCAGGGCACTACTCCCCTTATCACTGGCCATGTGGCTGGGAGGGGCAGTTGAAATAATGTGTATTGAGGAGAGTTAAAGAGAGTTAAGCTGTGATTCAAACCAGCTTTTGTTAGCAAGGTCACTTATATAATGCAGGCAGAGACCAGAGAGACAATACATTCTGATAACACTTTACTGAAGAAAACCTAACAAAAACAATGTGTAATCTGAGGAGGGAAATCTCGTCATTCTTATTCAAGCCTTGTATATAGCTGGGAGACAGTCAACCAAACATACTGAGGAAAAGCTCTCTCGGAAAAGTACAACCAATTAGGGCACCTGCTACTTCAGCAAACATCATGTTACTCTGCCTGGCTGCATGAGCAACAGTTCCACCCACCCACCCATCCAACCTACCAGCCTAGTTGACTTTAGCACTAATAAGTCGCAAACTGAATGATGCTCCTCCGTCCAGTTCTACCATCCACCAGTCTCTGCCTCCAGAATGATGCCAGCATCACTTGGCTGGTGTCAAGCTCTGAGCAGGGTGATCTGGAACCTGGAGGGGCTCAATCTGGCTGGGTCAGGTTCCTGTTAGATGTTAGGGAGCCAGCATATGATGGTCTCAGGGTCCCTGCCCACTTCAGACCAAAAATAATGTAGTAGCTGGTAAGTGTGGCTGGTAGCATTGTGGCCTGTTGATCCCCGGATCACTTTGTGTCTCCCATCTCTCATTCACCCACGATCCCCTTCAGGACCCAACTGCAAGCCTGAAGCAGGCAGCACAAATAGGGGAGCACATGGACTGCAACCCTTTCCCTTGATTCAGAAAGCAGCCTAGCAGAACTGCTTGTGAAGAGTTAATTTTCACTTGCCATAATTGCAATGTTTCACGGCCAAATCACAACACTAAGACAGATAAGAGGTTCAAATAATTACTAACTTTACGTATCAAACTTCTCATTCCTTCTGAAAAGTGTGGCACTTAATTATTACAGTGGAGGAAAAAAACCATATGCAATAATATGATTATAGTAATCTGCACCTTATTTGTGCAAAGATCAAGAGAAGCATTAAGCAGAAATGGACTAAAAAGTCTTCATTACATCAAATAAACACGGAAATCAATATCTGTCTTGATATGTAGAGCCAGACATGTATATTGTGTTTGAATTTCGGATCTTTACAAATCTGTTTATCCGCCTGTCTGTCTAGCTGTGGGGCAGATTATGCCTGACCACTGAATGGATGAAGGATGAGTCTGAGGAAGAATACTAAAGAAGCAACTCACCTGCTATTTGCATGGGCACTTCAGCATGAATCCATCAACCTAACCGTCTCCTTAGTATTTGCAATCAGTCATGTCCTTCATTGCGGAGAGTGCTGGAAACTCTGAAGACTATCACATTCTCACCTTGGGTGGTGAAGGCCAACTGGAGGAGAAATCCATATTTTTATCTCACCTTTCCTAAAGATCTCAAAGTGGCGTAGCTTCCACCACACATGCTAATAAGCAGGATTCACCTCACAAACTCAGTCAAGTGGAAGCCCTGGGCAAGGGTTTCTGTTTGTACAATCAGGCTTTCTACCCTCTCCTTCCCATGCGTGCTCCTCAGAATTGGCTTTGAGGGGCTTGTTGGGAGAACTGGCAGAACAGAATGCAGTGGGGAGGAATAGTTTCTTCTGGGAAGCACATATGCTTGTGCAGGGGAAATGTTCAACATAACATGATGCTGAATTTCACCCTTAATCCTCACAAGAAGACAGTGAGGTAGGATAGGCTGAAAAGTTCTCCTTGCAGCTGGAACCTGCGAGGCACTGTTTGGGTTCCATGCTATCTTCAAGTTTTGGAGACAGTACAAATAAATTTCTGCACCCTCTTTTAGATGTCTGCCATTGACTCCTGGGACAGTGGTTAGGCTGGAGGCTAATATATGACAATGATATCCAGTAAGATAGCTCAGTCAGTAAAACATAAAACTCTTGATCTCAGGGTCTTGGGTTCAAGCCCCAACTTGGGCAAAAGATTCTTGCATTGCAGGGGGTTCAACTAGATGATCCTTGTGGGCCCTTCCAACACTACAATGAGCCAGTGTGGTGTAGTGGTTAAGAGCGGTAGTCTTGTAATCTGGTAAACCGGGTTCACGTCTCTGCTCCTCCACATGCAGCTGCTGGGTGACCTTGGGCTAGTCACACTTCTCTGAAGTCTCTCAGCCCCACTCACCTCACAGAGTGTTTGTTGTGGGGGAGGAAGGGAAAGGAGAATGTTAGCTGCTTTGAGACTCCTTAGGGTAGTGATAAAGTGGGATATCAAATCCAAACTCTTCTTCTTTATTATTTAAATATATTAGCCACTTGTCACTCAGAGAGTCTACAAGTGACTTGCATGGGGGTGGGGAATACATAAATACATTATACCATAGAAAATGGCACAAATCATATGATACATTAATATTACATACAAAATGTTGACTCAACCCCAAAAAGCAACTACCCATCCATAACTGTGATAGAAAACCTTGGTAGCCTGCTAGCAACAAAGAATGGACTGCATTCTCACCCACTAACTAGCAGATAAAAAGCAAAGCTCAACACTGACACCCCCTCCCTAGCCCAAATATCATTTATGTCAACCCAGCAATATATATATATATATGTTTGTGTGTGTGTGTTTCCTAATGATTCAATTGTAGTTAATGAAACCTCATAGGCTTCCAAAGCTGCTTGAGATGCTTAACAACATCTTTCTGCACCTGAATTGTTGACGATATAAGAGGGTTGGGAAAGGAAAAAAAGAGGGCAGCTTCACATACAAAGGAATGCTTCCCTATTGGTGCCTGAATGGAGCACCAATCGATGCTTAGGAAGAAAGGGCAGCTCTTTCCACAATTGATTATTCCATAACACCTGTTAATATAAGGTATAGAAATATATGCATACCAAATATTCATTAAAAAATACTTCTCTGTCTGTCTCTTGCAATTCAATATACCTGCATTTGGACTTTTATTGAATGCCCCCCCCCCCCGAATTTCCTTTTCACCCCTCCTGAAATCTTTGATGCCTTCATGAAGCTGTGCCCATGGCAGCCTCAACCTGGAGCACTTTTACTTGCGAGTAAGTCCCAGTGAATGCAGTGAGACTTCCTTCTTGAGTAAGGAAAGAAAGGCTTGGGCTTCACATCCCACTGTGTTCATTAAATCTCCCCACTGCAGCACCTGCTCACACACAATTTCCTGTGACAGCCGCACAGTTGAGAAAGCGATTTCTAAATAAAAATAAAACCAATTTGCTCCTTTCCCCCCTTACTTTAGCAGTTCGTATAACAGCCAGCTTCCTCAAAGCTTTCCATTGCAGTTGGTTAAACTGCTAAAAAAGCAACACACCATCAAAAATGTATGTTAATGCAACACTGAGTGTTAATACTCCCTAGGCAAGCTCTTCATAGCAATTTCACTGGCCCTTTTTATTTTATTTTATTCTAACCTCTCATTTTTTTGTAAGTTCCCAAGGCCTTTAGCGGTCTATAATGCTGTCAGTGCTGAATGCTCCTTTTTCTGTGCTCCTAACCAAACCTTTGTTTTGCTCCCAAAGGTTTCCCCACCTGCTGCACTTTGTTGTTGAAATACCATCAGAACTTTCTCAAATTTTGAATGAATACTAAGTAGGTAACGGAGAGGAATGAAAAAGAAGCTTAACCCCAAAGCAGGGACTTGGGCAGCCTAGCAGCCTTAAAATTCATTTCAAAGGCCACAGCTGACAATCTTAGCAATGTTCATGTCCCCGCTCGAATCAGTCATGTGGGATGCATGTGGTGTTAGTGGTTAGACTGGGTTTTGACACAGAATTGTGTTCTGAGTATTGTGTTCGCCATTGTGGGCTAAGTGCTATCAGCTCCATTCTATGGATCAGCATAGGGTAGACAGACCTAACGCAATTGCACACTATTCTGAGAGTGACAGCAATGCGGATTTGGGCAGAAGTTATGACAAATGTGGTGGATGGGAGAAGCTGCTCAAATTGAGGTGGAGAGAAATGTAAGACTCTTGTGACTGTGTTTAGCCTCTTCATGCAGTGGGCATGGAGGGATAGAGCCCTGCGTCTTTATGAGTTGAACCACAGGGAGAATTATTTAGCAGGCTCAACTTCCCATCTGCTGCTGACTGTACTATGGTGGTTGTAAAAGCAGAATCCAGCATGCCCTTTCCGCACAAGTCTTTATTAAGTGTACAATTGTTGTCAACATGGTGAGGCATTTGGAAAATTCCACCAGGTTCAGACTAGCGAGGGGTGAGTTCCTCCAGTCTCAATTCAAACTCACTATGTGGGCTCCTCTGTGGGTTTGCTGGACTACAACTCCCATCATCCCCGACCATAGGCTGTGCTGTCTGGGATTGATGGATGTTGGAGTCCAAGAACATCTGGAGGGTCGCAGGTTCGCCATCCCTGTGTGAGATGTTTCAGGTATAGGTTCACAAGGGAAAGTCACCGTGCACATTCATAGCTGAGCTATCTGCATAAAAACAGGAATGAGCGCCAGTTACTCCCTCCACCCAAATTCATCAGGTTATTTAAAAGTATACAACAAATCTGTGGGTTGATACCTGACCACTGTACCTGTGGGTGGTAGAATTAAATAATAGAATTTAAATAAATTAAATTATTATTTATTAATTTATCTATAGAATTGGCTATTTATATTTGTCAAGAATGTAATACATTTGAGAATGGGTTTGCCTTCAGGCTATTATTATATGTTATTGTTGTATTTCAATTTCAAAAAGGGGGAAGGGAATAGGGGTATAATTTGAATAATCACCATGTATATCTTTAGATTTTGCATATGTCCATAGTTTAAAATGCTTCTCTCTCTCTCTCTCTCTCTCTCTCTCTCTCTCTCTCTTTCAAAAAGTGGCCTTATTGGCTCAATTTTGTCCAGTGCTCATATAGATGACTCTTGCAAAAAGAATATTTCTGAGCGTAATATTACCATTAGGAAGAATTAAGTGTGCTTCTTTGATATAAGAGTGAAGACAAATATTTTTATTTCCTTCCACATCTTAACACTAGCAGATGAGGACAAGATACTTAGATAATTCATCTTTTAAAATGAAGGAACCAACACTTTCTGCTGAATCTTTATAATTTAGTGGTAGTTGCTTTTACTTAGTATGCTGTGTGGTGTACTTTGTCAAATTCTTCACTATTCTTGTGCTCTTCTTTTTATAAAATGTGATTTTCTTTTGGTGGGAGAACTCAAAAGAAATGAAGAAAAACAATACTACTTTTTTTTCAAATTTTGCAGTGTTGTTCAAAAAGTACAGATAATAAAGCAAAATGCAGCTGTTGAATACCCGAACTTTTAGCAATATGTCCCTCATAAATGTGACATTTAGTTAAAACTGAAGAATCAGGTGACCTCACATTTTCTCTCTCTTTCAGCTACCAATTCGGATTTGAGATTGAGAAGCTTGAAAATCCAGGAGCTCATACCATATAGGAGTGGTTCAATTTCGGAGCTTTGTAACTTTCACAAAGATGCTGTAATTGTCTTTTTCTCTCTCATGATACTCAGACTATTCTACTTAAAAGGGTTTTGTAAATGGAAATTTTGGGCCTTTGTCACATCAAACTACAAGGCTTCAATGGGAACTAGATGGAACTCTTAAGCTGTTCAAACTTGCGGCTCCATATACACCTGGATGAAGAAAATGCATTTAATCAAAAGGAACCAAGTGGTGGTAGTAGATGCTTCGTTACCTTCCAGAACCTAGCAGCTGCTAAATTTGCCTGCAGGAGAGGCATTAAAAACAAAAGATAGTAAAGCCCATGATTCTATTTTGTAAATTAAAAAGTAGGAAAATAATCCGTTATGAAAGGTTTTGTTGTTGTTTAGTTGTTTAGTCGTGTCCAACTCTTCGTGACCCCATGGACCAGAGCATGCCAGGCACTCCTGTCTTCCACTGCCTCCCGCAGTTTGGTCAAACTCATGTTGGTAGCTTTGAGTGTGTTGAATAGTGGAAGAGATGGATGAAGGACACAGCTCTGTTGGATTCACAGCTCTTTATTGCAGCAGTTAGAACTGCTCCTGGAATCAGACTGACTGCAGCCTAGCTGGCTGCTTTATATAATACTAAGTAACTTGAAACAGTAACAACTCACAACTAGCTAACCAATCAGGAGCGACAGTTTTCAATCCTTCATTTACATACTGGTGGCTCTGAGTGAGAACTGCAACTTAATCATAATACATAGCAAAGAGCAAATAGAAAGGAATGATCAATAAGCATGTAGGGGCACTAGGAGCAGGAATCTATGTTTGCTTTCCCACTGCAGTCCAGTATCATCTTTCTGTTCCTGAAATCTGGGACTAGCATACTCATGTAGTAGAAATGAGGTGGTAAACTAAGTAGTAGTAGATTAGACTACACCACACCACTAAAGAGTGCTGGTAGGGGATTAGGGGTGGGGAAAGTTTGTCCGGTTTGCCTGCTCCCTGAAAGTAGGTACTAGTTCAACTCTCCCACCCCACCCCAATAGTGAGAATTATTTTGGAGGAGATTGAAAAGTTGAACCAGTTTGCCGAATTCAGGGGATCTTGTCAGAGCAGAGGTGGCAATGGCTTCATTTTCTCTTTTTAACCCACTGGTATCTGCCATCTCATGTGCCATCCATTTTCAGACCCTCCAAGTGTCCCTATTTTCCAGGCACAGTCCCGGATTTACAGAAGCTGTCCTGGTTTCTGATTTGATCCACGAATGTCCTGCTTTTCCTTAGGATGTTGGAAGGTATGTTTTTTACATGTTTAATGCTTTATTATTATTATTATTATGAAGAAGAAGAGTTTGGATTTGATATCCCGCTTTATCACTACCCTAAGGAGTCTCAAAGGGGCTAACATTCTCCTTTCCCTTCATCCCCCAAAACAAACACTCTGTGAGGTGAGTGGGGCTGGGAGACTTCAAAGAAGTGTGACTAGCCCAAGGTCACCCAGCAGCTGCATGTGGAGGAGTGGAGACGCA